TTTATCTAGGTCAATAGATACTCAAAGTGGCCATACCTAGTACAAAAAAAAGTCTTGTGGACATCTTCATCTCCAATTTAAATTTGATTGTAGTTGCTTTTCAAATCTAGCTTGATGAAGTACTTTGCTCCTTGAAGTTAATCAAAAAAATCATCTATACGATATAATTAATATTTGTTTTCCACCGTTTGCTAATTCAACCGTCGATAGTCGATGCATAGTCTCATGAATTCATACTTCTTCACAAAGGGCACTAGAGCTTTATAAGGTGAAACACTTGGTTGAATAAATCCTTTGCTCAACATCTACTCCACTTTAGCTTTGCATTCTTCCAATTCGTTTGGAGACAACATTATGGAGTTTTGCAAGTTGGTGTACTTCTAGTTATCATCTCAATCTTGTGATCTACTCACCTCTTTGGTAGTAATTCTACAGGTATACCATCTAGAAAAACATCTTTATACTTCATAAAAATGTCGTTCAAGTACTCCGGGATGTAAAGTTTGTCCGTGGACTCAATATCTCTTATAAGTCCAAGAAAACATACATCATTTCTAGAAATGGATGTTTTACACATCACAAAGAGTGATAAATGTTTATTCTGATATCTAATTTTATCTCCATAGATCTTCCAACCACTACTTGTAATCACTTTTCTTCTCCAATCTACCTTCGGATTATATTGCTCTATCCATGGCAATCCAAGGATGACATCATATCGAGCTAAACGAATCACTTTTCATTCAATGCTCTCCTTGTATCTAACTATGCATAATTCTACACTCTATGATAGTGTTTCTATCACTTTAGATTAACCGTTTGGCAATTCAACTTCCTCACTCACGTCCTTCATCAACATCAAACCTAACTTCATAGCAACACTACTTGATAGAAAATTCTCTGTTGCTTCACGATAAATTAAAACTCTCACCTTCTGTTCTTCCATCAAATCATTAGTGACAATGAGTTGAACTTGCTTCTTATTCTTTCCATGAACTCTCAATCATTGATTTCTCACAACCTCGTCTTTCCTTTGCTTTGTAGAACCAGTAAGGCCGCAAGTCAAGTTTATTGGTGATCTTTGATTCTCAAAATGTCTTCCTCCACCTCTTCATACTCTATCCCCTCCACGTGAAACGGTCGTCGTTGTATGGTTCGTTCTCCTTGTGCTGCCGATCTTTTGACAAAACTTAGCAAAGTGACTCATTTGTCCACATGCATAGCATTGACGATTGTCACGAACTGTAGCTATTCCAAATCATTGCGTTATTTGCATAACCTTCTTGCAAATTTGGAACTCCCGATCGTCAAATCTCACCTTCAAATCTTAGCTGTGATACTTTTATGAGTAAAACTTTCTCAACGTTAAAGGTTTCCTAACCTCATCGATGTTGGGCAAAATGGATCTAAAAAATTGTTTATTGGTTCACCGTGTGTGACATTAAAAGCACCCAAAATTTGTTAAGCAATTGTGATTGCTTCATTTACTATTGACGGATTATTTACCATCAACTCCTTTTGAATTCTATCTTTCAAGCCTCTTTGAACATGTCCAAGGCTTCTTCTCCACTCATATTCATGATGGATACTTGAAGATCACAAAATTCTTCAATGTACTCATGTATACCTCCTTTCTAGTTCAAATTCCACCACTTCATTCTTGCAGTTTGAAGAGAGTACACCGCTTGAAAATTCTGCAGAAGATCTTCCTGCATTCTCCTCCACGAAATGATAGCACCTCGTTTTGAAAGCGTTCCCTCCCATGTTGTATACCCATATGAGAGCTTGATCTGTAAGATAAGATCTCATGAACATTTCCGCAATGTTATCAGAAACATGAAAATGCAATAAATGAATATTCATCATCATTATCCATCCCTCTAACACTTCCATCGCTCCACTCCCTTTGCAAACTTCCAACTTAGAGAATTTTTCCAATTTGAAGCAAAAGATTTGCTTGATCTTCAATCTCTTGAAGACATCTTCTATTTGCCTCTACTGTATCAATAGAAGGTTATGGTTGAATTTGGAAAGCTTGAACTTGAGATTCAACTTCCATCTCTCCAACTCTTTCTCTCTATACTTTCTCACTCTCCAAGGCAAATATTTTATCTTCCATAACTTGCTACTTGGTATACTCATCTACTATCACCTTTCTTAACTCCTTCATCTCCGCCATGATTGTTGAGAACCTCACCCATATTGATTAATGTCCCCATGTTTTCTCACACTTACTCTAATACAAAGTAAGTATAATCATTATCTGTTCTCTCAAAAAAGAAGCCACAAAAGGTATAGATGATTCTATCACAGCTCTATAGTACTCTTCCTCATTATTTCTCACAAGAAAATCTCTCCACAATCTATTCTGTTGGTATATTATTCTAATCTTTACATAAGTGTTGAATCAAACCGGTACATGTGGTTTGCGATTCAAATCCATGAAACATTCGGGTGTATAACGTATATTGTATAATTTCAAGTCTCACAATAACTAACTATTGGAAGAATCGGTGGCACATTGGAGTTCCATCACTCTAGTCATAAAATCTGCATCCCAGCAAATCATAATTTACATCCAAAAATGATGTTTCTCCATGTAACAAAGTTGAATATGGAATTGGTTAGGAATTAGCCAATGCTCATCTATATTTGCAAAACCACAATGATTTCTTTTTCTCCTCTCTCTCTACATGCAGATCAATGAACTCTGCCAGTCTCTATACACTCTCATAAGTGCACTCCATCATCACTCACTTGTTATTCCATGAGGGGAAATCCACACTTAAGGAAAGAACAAGGTTGCTCTGATACACTAAGATTTAGAGAGAAGTTCACTCAAAGATGAAAACATAAATTTTGAACATGAGAGATACAAACAATGATTCTACTCCTCCTTATATAGCTCTCACCAACAAATACAAGAAGATAATATCTTATCGACATCATTCATACCACTCCTAGCGGATGAATGACGTGGCGGATAATCTTAACAAGCACACGGATTGCTGACGTGGTGCTTCCAACTAACACACTCAATCCTTACCCAACAAGCACATGGATCGCTGACGTGACAGCTATGACTAGTGCATGCTAAAGTATCTATATCAACATTTAGAGTAACCTCTACTTTAATTTTAACTAACTAAAGATGGTTACATCGCCCTCGTAAGTAGTACATCTTCATTTGGAGTGTGTACCATAAGGCTATTACAGTCAACCAATGGCGTCATGTCGGCCGGATGGCTACATCAGATCGTTGTCCATGCTAGATGTGTTAGAATCCATCCTTCATGCATTCTTTGAATGTGCGGCGGTCCAAGTTGCTTGGGAGTTCGCAGGTACCGTCCTCAATCTACTCATAGTGATCTCTCGTAATACCATGCCCTTGCCGCGACTTCCGTGGGAACAATGCCTTCTTGGCATGAACTTATATGCCCTTATAGGCTTTGTTGGAAGCCTAGCAGCAAACGTGGTCGCTTCTTTGTGGATAAGTGCTCTAGGTCCTCTAGCTGCGGCGAAACGCTCAAGTATTTCAAAACGCGACCTGGCCAACCTCTCAACTAGAAAGCTCGATATATGATGACGTGCTGGACTTAGCCAAAATGGCTTGAGATAGCTCCATCTCGCTCAGTCGCCAAAAGCCCCGTGCGAGTCAAAATGCTTCTTTGTGGATCGGTGCTCTGGGTTCTCTAGCTGTGGCGAAACGCTCAAGTATTTCAAAACACGACCTGGCCAACCCCTCAACTAGAAAGCTCGATATAGGATGTCGTGCTGGACTTAGCCAAAATGGCTTGAGATCGCTCCATCTAGCTCAGTCGCCAAAAGCCCCGTGCGAGCCAAAACGCTTCTTTGTGGATCGGTGCTCTGGGTTCTCTAACTGTGGCGAAACGCTCAAGTATTTCAAAACGCAACCTGTCCAACCCCTCAGCTAGAAAGCTCTATATAGGATGACATGATGGACTTAGCCAAAATGGCTTGGGATCACTCCATCTCGCTCAGTCGCCAAAAGCCCCATGCTAGCCAAAAAGTGAGGCTCGCATTCTGCAGGTGTTGGGCAAGCACTGCCACCTTCCGCTCTCTTCAAGAAGATTCCATTCACAAGAATTACATTCGGCCAGTGTGTGGGATGTTTAGCTAATCAGCGTTTGTTGAGGTATTATAAGGTAGAAAAAATTAAAACTAGCTATCGCCAGCAAGTTTCACATTGCCAGGTTTTGCGACAGTGATGTATTTTTACTCTTTGATTTGAAAATTGAAAAACAAAACTTTAAAAGAAAAATAGATTTCGATGGTTCAATATGACTTGTTACGTACATACTTCCAATGTCTACTTGAACTCACCTATGTTCTTTGAATTTCCGGGCTTAGCTGCTCCGCTCACCGTACGTGATATATACCATCAAGCACTTGGCATATGAAACCAAACCATACTAATAGAACAAATATATCCTACATAATCTAACCATTTGAACAATCGAATTGAAACGTTTTACAAATAACAGCAATTATAGTATTACTTCGGACCCAACGAGATAATTCTGACAATAAAATAATTGAGTTAGATTATTACAGCTTATCTCTGATACACTCTGAAACATACAGTTCTCTAAATATTCATTCTTGACAACATGTACATATACTGCGAATCTACCTACGCAGATGGATCATCATAATACCTACAGAACTATCTTCTGTATTTAGATCATCACCATGTGGGTAACAAGAAAATGTCATTTCCAGCTAGATACATTTAACTCAATTGGAATGCAGGCAGACCAATGCTATGTCCATCATCCCCGAATAACAAATCTAGAATGGAAGTATTAACAACCATCACTTTACATTAAAATTGTTCGTATGTACACAATAACCATCAAAATCACTCCGGTATTTTCATCATGGCGGTTGTCTTCATTCACAACGAGTACACAATCTCTACTGGCAATTGTACAGCATCATTTCAACTCCTCGGCTATTTGTAACTAATGACACTGTAATGATCTAAATCCATGCGAGTAGACACGCAAATCTTCACTCGTGTCCACCGAGGGCAGCGTCTCGTGCGAAAGTATTTGTAGCCACCGCCAGGGTTGTTGGAACCCATAATGATCGAGGTCTACTTCAATCATCAACAGAAGAGAGTCTCACAAAGTTTGAGGATACCGAGAGCGCACGTTCATGGCCACTTTACCTCCCATTGGAAGCAGCTTGCATGACCACCACCGGCGCAGCGAATCGGATGAGGCTATGCTTCTAAGTCTGGATAGACCACTCTCCTCTCTTGGCTGGAGGCCAAAAAAGCCTGTCCATGCACGTCGACCATAACTTTTACACCATGACTCTTCCTGATTGGCACGGAGGAAAAACCTTCCTGATTGTATATATATTTCATGGTCTCGAGTTCAGACGACAAATGTGTCTGTACACCGTAATAATAATGCTCTGACCCAAGTACAAAATTGCTCTCAAAATGATTAAATCCACGGACGACTGTATCCATCCATTCGACAATCGAGCATATATATCTCTCTCTCTCTCTATCTATCTATCTATCTTTCCCGTGTCTCCGCTCACAGATGACATGATACAAGAGACATCGTCGGAGACGTCGGGCTTTGTTCTTGTCGATGAATGTCCGAAAGTTGTTGACATATCTATATCTATCATACGATTCCAAAATCGGCGCTCGCAGGAACGCATCACGACATATTGGATAAACTCCGCCTATTTTAAACCGTCGTTTTTTTGGGCCTCACACATTCTGATCGAGTGCCACCAGTTCCGTTTCTCGACGTTATCGGCTGGTGGGAAACGCATAATGGTGATGAGAATTTCTTCATTATTGAAAGATGTGCCGTAACCGAACAAATCGCCTTGCCTTTCGGATCGATCGGAACCCCATCGTATTGGCTTCTGCTCTGATGACCTTCACGTCCTGAGGAGATGGAGAGAGCCCATGGAGAGTCGCCACAATTTCCATTTTACTCACAACAGAACAGGAATCAAGGCGCACCGGTTTGCGGGAAATCCATCCACCTTTTTTCTGTACCATACTTTCGTGGCGTAGCTTCGAGAGCCGAGGTAGAGAAGAGTAGTGAGAAATATACAAGCGAAGTAAGTCGTTTGGGAAATCAATGCCATGCCGCCATATTCCACGATTTCGCAGATGTAGTGAGGAGCAACGAATAGAGAAAACAGGCCTCCTTGCGGAACGACGTACTTCCGTGACCCATCTTTGCGCAAGTTGCTCAAGAGGAGGTGGTGGTAAAAATTTCCCGCCAACCCCAACGAGTAGAGCGCGATGCCGACCGGAATGGTGTTCACCGGCGGAGGGGCACTGCTGTCAGCGATGTGCTGCGCGAGCAAGGAGTTCACTGTGCCGAACATGTAAAAGAAGCCGATAGCTCCCGCCGTGCTCGCCTCCATACATCCCGAGTAGCGGTGCACGAACAGAACCTGTGGCACACATTCAGCAGAGTTCACGATTCAGCTGTCAGCTCTTCTGATCCTCACACTTCGCATACAAGGTGCAGATGGATTACTGCTCCATGGCACTCTTTCGTGTTCACAGACGCCCCTGGGTCTGATCAGTAGCCCATTCATTGTGAAAGGATCGACTTGCCTCCATCGAAAATTGCAGTTTCGGTATCTGAAACGTACCTCGAGGATTCGCTTGTTGAAGTGGACAACGTATGCACCGAGGATAAGCCAGAATCTCATGCTCGGCTGGTACTCGGGATTGGTTTGGGTCTTCGAGAACGTCCACACGGAAATCGACACCACAGCAATGGCCGCGGGACAGTACAGCACTAGCATGCCCTTCCGGCTGGGGAGCGTTTTGCCTTTGATTTTCGTGAGATCGGCGAATTTTGAGTACGTCGCAGGAGACTTTTGCAGAGCCTCGGACCAGATGGTCGAAAGTCCACCCAGCACCAGTAGCATCTGCATGACTTTCAGGTACCCAGCTCCCCAGAGACTCATGTCGTTGGGGAAGAAATACGAAGCGATTGCCATTTTCTCGAAAGACCCACGGGTCTGCAGCAAGCCCTGTGAATTATCACCAGCTCCTCGTGCTCCTCTGAATGTCTTTCCTCTCTTCAGTTCGACGGATAATCACGTGGGGGTAGGGAGGCGCATGGAGAAAACGATGTGTGTGAATCCCACAGTCCCCGGTGTTGTGAAGAGTGGAGCTGGCCCCGAGTGAAAATGCAGCGTGCACTCAGCGGATGAACGGATTAACGGATGAACGGATGCCACGATACTTATAGCAGCTCGATTCGAATACGCAGCCCAGCTACCTTGGGCGTGAAACTGCCGGCTGTTCTGTTTTACTCAAGAAGAACAAATCTTTAGACCTCTGTCGTGTAGCCGCGATGCTTGGCATTGTACGAGGACACTAAGCGGTAATAGTCCAAAGCTGGATTAAATTCCGAAGTCTTTCATTCGGCCGGGTCTATCGACGCAAGAAGAAATTAAATGACCAAGTTGCAATGCAGCTGAGTCTTCCTCAGCTGCTCTCGACCTCCGTACAAGACGATGCAGATTTATCCCCGGCCTCTATCGCAGAGATCGAGCACAAACAGGACGTCACGAATGTTCACTTATATTATCCGACCACCGAGTGCTTTATCATACTCTTTGATGTTCTCCTCTCTTCATGGCCAGTAAGTAACTTGTACAATGAGTCCGATCATAAGTCCGGTTTATCATGCTCTCGTTCTACTAATGTCCTAACTTGAAATCAATAATTTACATAAACAGAAATAATGACAAGAATTTCTGAAAAGTGAAACTTGCGAACTCAGGAGATATCGATTTTCTTTGACTCTGAAACTTTCTATATTTCTAGACTTTCGGAAACACACTCCACATGAGGATCGGAGCCAGTGGCGTCACTCATCCTTCGACCACGTACCCGCCACGAGACATATTCACAGTTCTGGGACGGTCCGATCTCACGAAAAATCGGGTCTAAACGGGTCTAAACGGCGGGGGTCCGTACAGCGAGACGAGAGAGAGAGGAATCGACGGAGCAGGAAACGAAATGTCATCCATCGCGCAACATTTCGTGGATGTTTGAACGACTGCAGAGTCTTCCGCGCACTTGATTGTGTCATAAATTCTCCACATGGGCCCGAATCTCACATGTGGATAGTCGAAGAGAACTTATAAATGTTGAAAATGTTCCTTCATTGGATGGACATCATTTCGTGTGATATGATGAACGGAAGATATCCTCTAGTCTGAGGAAAATGTGATTTGACATTACCTTTCCGGAATAACTTGGGGGCACAATTACTAGAGTTTGGACCTTCTCTTCGATATTGGCTGATGTTTCAACCGATACCATCATAAACAACAGAGCTACATCCACAATGATGACAAGTGTTCTTAGAATGCGCATTCCTTGGAAAATCAGATTGAAATCCCAAGAGTTGATAACTAAATCTGTTAATCATCGACGCAACCGTTGAATCATGTAACCAGCTTGACCAGACTTCTTAAATCATAATTCTAACCTTTACTCCGATCAGCTGATTACACTCAACTCATGATTTCCTTTGATGCAATATTTTGGAATAATCCGTCTCAAATCTAAAAATTGATGACATATGTCAATTATATTCGCCAATGTCAATTAAAATTTAGGCTAATGGAAGAAAGGATTTTCTGTAATAATTTTTATAAGTCGCAAAACATTAATATTCGTATTAAATGAAGGATAGTAGGTTGGTTTTAATATATGTTTGTATATTAAAGTATTTTTATCGTTAAGTAAAACTTTAGAAGATTAAGAACGTGGATTCAACTTATATTTTTTTTCAAATCATATGAAAATAGAAAATGTTTATATTATAAGTATAGGTTGAATTATTTCAACTAAAATTATTTAATTGTAAAAAGATACTCAGTTTCTACTTAAAACTAATAAATCTTGAAATGATTTATAACATAAAGTCAACCATTAAAATCGATTCATAAAGCCATATAAATCTTTGTCATTAAAATTTTGAAATATAAATTATTCATAATATCACATTTTTTCCTATAATTTCAATGTATATTTATCATTAGATGAATAGTTTAAGTTAATTTCCAAAAAATTTGATTCTTATTTTATATAAAATAATTTAGATTTATTATGAAATTTCTTATGAACGTTACAAAAAATTTATATGTAATGTATAGAAAATCAAAAAAAAATTTCTTGCTTTTATTTCTATCTAGATTTCTATTTTAATAATTTTAATATATATTCGAAAAAACATTAAAAAATATTCATTAGATGAATTGGTCTTTTTTGTTTCTCATTATTTTCAAATTATGCATATACTTAAAATAAGTCTATTCAATAGGAAAGTGTAGCCCGGGCTACCTGCCTCATATTAGGTGGGAGAGAATCCGGTAGGACTCTCGTAATTGGATTGCATAGACTTCAAACTTACCTAGCACCCCCTTTGGGTATCCTGGGGGCCCTTCGGATCCAGACATATTAAGACGCGTTTTATACTTACCACGGGGGAGAGTTTTAGTACGAGTAAGCTGAACACCTCGCGGTGCTTACACCTCTCGCCTATCGAAGTGATGATTGTTAATCATACAAAATTAGGAACTCATTTAACATTAAAAATATAATGTTTAGATTAATTTTTAAAACTTTTAGATGAATATTATGAAACAAAAGTCTAAAACCGCAAAATCTCAATCTTGACTTTGGATATTTTATTTTATTGGTATCGTTTTTAAAACCAACCAAAATACTGTGGAAGAACAACACTTTTCAAAGGTAAAGGATGGCGTTTATTCACAAAGGCAACTGGACGAATGTAATAACCAAAAGTCATACGAGCATCTTTTTTTAAATGAAATCATTAATCTACCATTGGTTAAAAAAAAAATTATATTGGGTACTCTAACCTTATAATTTATCGTTTATGAAATATATTTTCTTTTTTGAAATAGTATTCTTATTCTTCTTAATTTTTTATTTAAAAATAATATTTTTTTAATTAAAATCCGCGCACCAGAAAGATTTTTGGCTTTGCTTTTAGAGCAACCGTAGTAACAGTAGGTGTCTTCGACGTCCAAAAAAGTGTTAGTTTTGCTGCGCAATGAGAAAACTTAAAATAACCATGCTCCATATAAAGGTTATAGAACTATCCAGAAAACCCAAAGTTAGTTAGTTAGTTAAATATATTTATATATTTATATATATATATATATATATATATATATATAGCCCAGGATAGAAATACATGCATAATGCTATATGAATCAGACCAGAAAACTTACTCTAAAACAAATTTTAAAATTCTAAACTTTTGGAGTTTCTATATGATTTTAATTAAAAGAAAAATTTTAAGTCAATCTACATTAACTATTCTTCTCATATATTCATACATCACAATAACACTTTCTGCCCGGTATCACTATGTATTATGATCTTAAAATGACACTCAGTTTTAATCATGATCTTGAAAATCTTTGCAATATTTTTTGAATCTATTTTTGAAACCAATTTCCTCAATCTATCAATTTTTTAAAATTCATACGATTGGATTTGTAATCTTTAAAAAATTCAAGGCATGTTCACAATACATTTGATTCACTACTAAATTGATAAGATTCAAAGAGGATTTTGACTGATGTCAGATGGTTGCTATAAAACTACACAATGTGATTAAGACTTATTTTGTTCTTAAAATTAATAAAAGTTGTTTTTTCATGTAAATTACTATAACTATTATAACCAAAAAAATTCGTATAGAACATGGCTTCCATCCCAAGATTCGGAAATGAAATAAAAGTGAACACTTTAGGTCTTTCCCGTGCTAGATTACGTCAGGATTTCAGCCTTTGTTGAGTCAAAAGATTAGAATCAGAAGCTTCAGAATCTATTCGTCGATGTTGGTATTCACACGAGATATATGCCATGTGACCGGACTGGCGGCTGACAAGGTTGTGTCGTGGAACGATGGCGTGGATTGTTTATCTCTTTGCGTTTTCACCGCCGGTTCAATGAATCCATTTCACCACGTGTCTATTAAAAGTTCTCTGTTGACTTGAAAATAGTTTGAGTATTTTTCACACCTCCGGTCTCTTCTAAAGCAACCGCTGACATAAGGTAGACCATGTGTTAAGAACTATATACAGTTATTACTGCTTCTCAGAGGGCTTACGAGGAAACATAGCTTTCTAGTTTTGTGTTTGACTTATGCATATAGTGAAGATGCGGTAATCATCCTATTGCTGGTGTTTACTACAGTAGTACTTTACTATAATCACATAATTTGAGGAGCCTATAACGAATTATGTGATTTGGACCCTAATTGAACTAAAAAAGAAAAACATAAAAGATGTGAAAATTGAAATTTCACTTGAATAATGATAGTTTCAAAACTTAACATACGCATTAGCTGAATTAATTTTGTATGAACATCTTTTATGTTTTTCTTTTTTAGTTCAATTAGGGTCCAAATCCAGAGATTTGGACCCTAATTGAACTAAAAAAGAAAAACATAAAAGATGTGAAAATTGAAATTTCACTTGAATAATGATAGTTTCAAAACTTAACATAAGCATTAGCTGAATTAATCTTGTATGAATTTATATCATTTTTTTATAATTTTGATAAATTGAAGAATGTAAACTAATTCTTGCAACTCACAACTGGTTTAGTTGTGACTTTGTTCATTGTTCACTAAATTATAACTTCTTGACTAAATTTCTATTTTGCATACAAATACACATGATTTCATTTTGCTTCACCTCGTCTGTTCCTTCAAATATGAGAAAGAGATGACATGAAACTTACAGATATTTATTTCTATGTGTAATGATTTATAAAAACAAATCAATACATCTAAATGATTTGATATAACATCAAATTTCACTTGTTACAATGTTTGATTAACCTAGAATAAATTTTTAAGATATTTAATGATCATGGGAGTATTTTAATTGATAACTTATTACTTGTAATTAGTATAAGATTCACTTGGATTTGAAATTTTAATCTTGTTATCAAATTATAACATTAAGAAAGGAAAAAAGTTCAATTGATGCTTTACATTCAAATTTTGAAAAGAATGAAACTACTAAATAAATTTAAATTAACACATTTCACCATCATCATACTTCAAACTCTTCATGAATTGATTTTGTATGGGACATCACTAACAAGTATTGATATTTAGCTCATGTCTCTAAAGTAAGTTTTTTGTCTATCATCTTAGTAATATAAACTTAGTTCTTTATAAACTTTTATTCTATTTGACACA